GCGAACCGTGAGATCGATAAGGAAAGCATTCGAGCGTGCATAGACTGGTATTTTCTACTACAAGAATACTTGTCGAGAATGCTGATGGGGTGAACGGAATCTCCATTCGATTTGAAATTGTAAGAAACTTCTAACAACATTCCGACTGACTTATTCAATTTAAATTATAATTTTGATATTTGATTCTACGTTTAACCATGATTTCGACTTATTTTGTCACGCGTACGTCAGAAATAATATGTTCCTCGCGACGCTTTGAGCCCAGTACGTCGTTTAATATCGTGTTTGCTGATATTGCATTTTTGAAGGATTCCCAGTATTTCGCAAATTGAACGGTATGAATTTTACTCCGGAAAATGATATAACTGTTGTATAAAGGCAACAAAAGCATCGTTGTGAATTTAAGAAGATCTATGAGCAGAACGTTCCTATATCTCTAACTATCGACTGATAAAAATTATACTCGAGATCCATTTTAATTACGGAACTCAGCTTCATCGCTATAAAGCTCCTCATCCACGTCTTATTATTTCTAATATAGACGTAGTATCGACTCTGTCACGCGTGTCTAGCATCTGGAAGAATATCTAAATATAGAATTGTCTGTCTACGTTTCGACCTTTCCAAGCAGACCCTATCATGTCTGAACTTTTGTCCACGAACGACAGTGTGTTCTTCGGCGGGTGCAAACAGATGGAAACCTAACGACGTCAAATTCTGGTCGTAAAAGCGACGTAGTTTCACAATGGTTTCCTTTGACGTAAACAACCGCCATTTCGCGTGCTGTGCTCGATGGCTTCCCTGAAAAGAAGAAGAAGCGTCGACGAGAAAACTTTCAACGACCGGCCGTGTCCAGTTTCCCGCGCTTTCGTTTGTCTTTTGTAGCCGCTGTTCGAAACTGCGTCCCGACAAATTGAAAACGATTCGATACTCGCGACGCGGAACTTGCTTCATCCTCGAAACACAATTGCACGGAACTTTTGATAGCTCGAAAACACGCCTCGAAGGGAGAAGAACTCGCGCCGTTCCAGTTACTCGTAAACGCCATTCCGGTTATAAACAATCCGTTTCGAAACGCCGCGAGTTAATTTCCGCTGTTTCGTGCAAAAGTATTTAATAATTTCGGTCGTCGGGGAAACAGTTGAAAATAACAGCTAGATACTGGTGATCGCGTCGAGTGAAATATTAAAAATACCAAGCTTTTATTGCTTTAAGATAGTTTTTTGTTTAATTAACGAGGAATTTAATTATCCGGGTTACGCACGGCAACTTCCACCCGTCGAGGCGGTTTTTTATCATTTTAACAAGCATGACGAAAGGAGCTGCTTAAACTTTTTCAGAGTCGTTTCGTTCGGGAACAAATTTAATTATCCGAGTGAAAGGGTAACTTCCAGAAAAATAAAAGATAATTGGAAACTGAAACGACGCGCAATAAAATGTTTACGAATTACGTTTGTCACGTTCGAACCGGTATCATTTTTATTCGTCGCGAGCCTTGGAAGCGGAAAAGACATTTATACCCCGCGGTAGCATTAACGGCCTTTCGTCAATAGAATTCAGGCAAGTCCTGGCCTCGGCCGTGAGAGCACTTTGCATATCGTACACGCGGTTAATTTCATGGAAATCTCATTCCTTTAATTTGCCTCGCTGGAGGAAATTTGCAAAGAGAACACACTGTGCGCAATCTCGCGTGGTCGCGAATCCCATCTTCTTCGGGCGCCGGAGTCGAAAGGGCCCGCTTAATTGAAAAACACGCCGGTATCGCGTAGCCTCTTTAACTGTTCGTTGTAAAACACCTCGGTGAGGTCTTCGAGACCATCTCATAAATATCGACGAAAATCGAGGCAAGTCGGCCCATTAAAACGGATCGTATTTAAAATTTATTATACCGATTGGAAAATACAAATTGAACCAAGAGTCAATATGTGTTCCGCTACTCGGATAACAAGGTCCTTTGACTCGATACGCCCTATCATTTACTCGGATCGCTGCAAATTCATTTGAATAGCAAAACATTCTGAACTCTCAACAAAGTCTACAAGCGTATTTTAATTAAACGCCAACAGACGCTTATAAGTTTGAAATTGGAAAGTTTATTGATCGCTGGCAGAGAGTATTATATAATTGATTAAATAAGCGTTTATCGTTTGGATAATGTAGATCTATTTTTCTCCGAATAAAACGCGAGAACGTCGGATCCAACGTGTACCGTTTTCTGTATACACAGTTCGTTTGTACTTCGACTGTGATATTAACCTAAATACTTGCCAGGACGAGCACAAATAGCGGCTAATGCCACGTGACTTATCATCTTTAGTCGGATTTTCGCGTAAATCCAATCTTTCGAATTTCGTTGGTCTTTGTCTCGCTCTAAGTAATGAGTTTGTTATTTTGGCGACGACGAACGCGTAAACAGTACCTAAATCTAATGAAAATTCAGAGAAATAAAAATAAACGAAATACAATTTAGTTCATCTATCGAAGAACCTGATCATCATTTCGAAGTACCAGATGGGCAAAGATCGTCAGGATTCGTCAAAGGGCGTAATCCTTTCAGTTATTAACGTAGTAATGCATCTAGTAAAGACCCAATTACAAATAATATTAATACAATTATACGTCCATTATCAAGAGAGGTCTCTTTGAGGCAAGAGCAGCGAAAATTTATGTTAAGAACGTGGAATATCGCGTAAACTGTTCGACATCCTCGCCGAGCTTTCTATTTCGTGCATAATATATTAAATTTCGAAGTGGTTGAAACAAGAAATCGAATGACCGAAGCATGATAGCAGTCGCGAAACCAGCGAATTGTCTCGACATTGAAATACGTTTAATAGCCGATAATGGAACTCGGTCGAATGGCAGCATAACCAAATTATGCTGTTGGCTGACTGCTCGCGATCTGGAAAACAATGCACCCGGAGGAGTTGCATGGTATTGTTCGTGCAATTCGACGAAATCAGATCTGCTTCTGATTCATCTCTTAATTTTGTCGTGTCCTGCGGTCGGAACAAAATCGATTGCTCGGGTTCGTGTGGTATCATCCCCATCGTACCGTCTGACTACCCTTTCACCCTTCATTTTTTAAAAGGGAGGGTCCTTCGAGCCTGATTCACCGTCACGAACGTTCAACGAAATTATATGTCACGAGCATTCCAATAGGTCTCTACGCCTTCGAATCGCTTGGAGATCCGACGACATTCAGTTTGAGGATTTCTCGTTGTTGTACCATCAAGCATGTTGCATTATTCCCTAAAGTCAACCATTAGCGTCTCAGTCGCTGCCGGTTCACCATTTGCTCTACCTTGAGCTGTCAATTATAATTTCCAGTCGTACCACTTATTATTCATCGAGTGTGCTTGTACTGTGCCGTTTGAGAGGCCTATGTTTTTGTTTTGATAGACCTTCCAAGATCTAAAGATCTCTGAAACCGATGTAGCTAGTAATAGCATAAACAGGCATATGATTTATTCTATGACAAACGATGCTCGTTTATTCTCTTTGCGAACAGTACTATACAGGGTGTTCGGCCATCTCTGGGAAAAATGGGTATACGATCTCTGAAATGTTTGTTTGAAATAGGAAAATGAAATCGAGTATTCCTTGGACACAGTAAATATCGGAAGATAGTTTCAGGGCCATTGAATTTTTAAACACCACTTCCGAGATGGACAGTCTCTACGGATGGAGAACAATAACTCTGATAGAAAGTATGGGAAAGGATAACTTTTTCTCTGAATCTTGAGACGCTAGGGACCAGGATCTTTGTTTTCGATTAAACTTATAGCGATTGGAGTCTTCTAAGATTTAAGCTTATCGAGGCAAATAAAAATTGCATTGCGTCGAAAAATAACTAAACAGTATTTTGCGAAAATTGATATGCAATATTCTGTAATACAATGTACTTTGTTGCCTCGAGGGAATCAATGGTCCAAATCAACATGCAATATTCCATGTTAATCGTCAGCAGAACATATATACGTTTCTATAATAACTGATGTATTATTCAATATATCTCTGCGGTAGTTGGCGTCGTTAATTGATATATTTGGCGGTGATTCGAGGACCTCGCCTGGCAAGGCCGACCTTCCGTGTCCTGATCTGAAGACCTTGACCAAACCGATGCCTTCTTTATGAATCAATATCATAGCCTGACGTAAAAGTTGTAAAACTCCTCGTGGCTATGCGCGAAATTCCTTCGAATTTTGTTTAAATTTTTTTTTAATCCCGTCAGTTTTATTCATTGACTACTCCTGCGTTAATCTACCTAGATTGATTAAGCTCACCTAAAGATGACTGGTAAATGATTGGAAATATAATAAATTTAATAAATATAACAGAAATAGAATTGACGTTATACGAAACACGAAATGATGATAATTAAATACGATCGTCCTTTGAACATGGCATATTTAATTTCGACTAATTTTAAATTCTTCCTCTATAATATCATGTTTTTAGGATATTAATGTTCCCACGTTGTTACTAACAATTTTAATATAGGATCTGACGCAACAAACTACAAGCATTACGTTATACAATATTTACAGCGCATAAAGTGCGTCGAAAAATTCCACTGTCGAATATTCCGCGTACCCGGCGCTGCTAAAAAAGGAAATACAATATTGTAGAATGGAATATTCTGTTGGTGTAACAGAATACTCAAATTTGTTCTGACAATTAAGGTTCAACCGAAACTTATTTTAAGGACTCGTAATTGCATTCCGCCGTAATTTCACCAACTCCCTCTACGAAATAATTGCAAAGTCTGGCACAATAATAATGTTACCCGCTCGTTAACCGAATTATTCTAGCCGAAGTCAATTGCACACGGCCGATCGGGGGCTTGGTGGTTGCAAATAATATTAAGGGAGTAGTTTGGTCTGCAACTGTTTCGAAAAAGTAAAAATAGAAATAATCGCGCTGCTACTTTTAATGTAATTTAATTTGATCATTTCGAGGGGGCTGATCGACGTCTCGTCGCGCGACGGATGTTTCAGGTACGTCCGCCGTGATGTCGCCGTGGATCGATAACCAGAGGATCGATACTTCCGATAGGCTGACCTGAACCGTCGCGAGGATCGAGCCAGGGCCGCTTCCCACCCCCTAGGAGCCAGAATCTTCGACGGCGACAAAAACACGCGGGAAAAAGAGGAATGGTCCCTTGGGCCTTTGGCGTGCCTCTCGTCCTCGTTTCTGCTCTGGGTCTTGTTTTCAACGGTTACGTTCTCCTCGTGGTCCTCGGGCTGAGCAAACAGGTGAATACCAAACTTCTTCGCGATCCTGCGCTATCGGTTGATCCGTCGTGTATGGATCGCGCGTCACGAGACCGTCCAGGGGGATGGTTTCTCCAAGACAATGGATCACTGACGCTGCAGGAATAATTCAATAGCCTATCGCTCTTCCTTGATGGCCGTGTTACCGACGACGGGGAACACACAATCGAGTTTGATAGCGCATGAAAGCTCGGGGCGATAAATCTGCACCGAAAACTCGCTGACCCAGTGAAACGCTAGATCTCGAAACCAAGAATCGCGGTTAGGGTCGCGAAATCGCCATTAATGAGTTTCCGAACGGAAGTTGTAACTTCAATCGGGGTTCGATCAAACTGACCGTACACACTCGAACAATTACACGCCGATTTTTTACGGTAGAAATGAATATACAGAAAATAAGGTTTCCAGCGAATTAAATGGCCGTCGTAAGTTCGGATGCGTCGTCTCTATAGAAACGAAAGGCTACGGAGAAACGATATATACCCTGATCCTCTTAAAGATAGATTTTCTAAAGCTTTCTTATGACACAGTCTCTTTCAATCGTCGGCGAAGAAATTAATACGGGGTTAACGGGATTTAAAATGGGTTTCAGGGTGGGAGGGTCACGATTTTTCCGATAGCTGTAATCCCGCCTTTTAAAACGGTTTTCTCTTTTCTAAGGAAGCCACTCCTTTCGCAAGCATGACACATTTCTCGGCCGAGAAAACGAAGCTCGCGGGAAAGGAAAGTGACCACCCTGGAAATAGCATGACGCTTTTACGCGAACCGTTTCAGCGGGCGCCGCTCGCTGACCATGGCAATTCGAACAACGCGAACCCGCGGCGGTTGGAAAAGATCGCGCGCTTTTCGATATAATATCGAAGGCCGAGACACTGAATGACAGCCCGCGAATGTGGGTCCCATAGAACGCGTTCCGGAGCTTTGCGAAACTCGTCGTTAGAGTTACAGCTTTCCGTAAATGTGATTGTACAGCAATCTTCTTCCTAGAATTTTCATTTCGACGGAGACAAAACGACCCGTCGTAGTTTCGAAACGGTTCTCCGAACACATTATTGGATCGAGAGAAAATACTTTATTGTCGTTTAATGGTGGCTGTCTTTTATACCATCGCGTTCCCGAACATATTAAGAAACTACATACGTAGTCGCGTTTATTTAAAAAATAAAACGTAATTCGTAACATTGACGAAGATGTAACGTTTCCTGCCGAGCGTGTTCCAGCGATAAGCGATCGATCTTAAACTTGAAACAGGTTTTTTCAAACTGTTAACTTTTTGAGAGGCAACCACGCGTCTTATTTAGGTAAATCGAGAACAAGAAGCAAATATTTCTGTTGCTATCGAAGCTACGGGAGTCGCGTTTGAGGGAAGCAGCGACAACTCGCGTGTACACTGCGGGAAGTCTGAATTACGAGACTCTAGAACTGGGGATTAAGATCACAGACCCACGCAAAAACTTTCGACGCGCAGGAATGGGAAAAGTTTTAGTTAACGAATTAACCGCGTATCGCGACGATGTCCACAGACGCAGCAGCAACAAACAGCCAATACTTTGTTGTTGACACACTTGGGGGCGGTGGAGGCAGCTGTGTGCCTGATACTACTGATCTTTACCACTGGCTCCTGGCCCATCGCCGGCACCTGGTGCGTCCTACACGGTTTCCTTTTAGCCCTTTTACATCCGGTCGCCCTTTGGACCGTAACTGGACTGAACTGCGACAGGTGAGTCCCGTCGAAAATATTTTTATCGACGCAGCGAATTATTCTTCGTCTTCGATCGCCACGGTTCGATACTTGTTATGTAACCAAGGAACGGTTAATTTCATCTCCGGGGGAAAAACTAATTTTCTAAACTCGATTTTACGCTAGAACGGTATGCTCGCGAGTATCCTAAAAAAAATCTGAAATTTGTAAATGCAAAAAATTGAAATTTGTTACCGGTTTTACATCGACTACGTAATCTAAAATAAATTATTCCTTGGGGATCGAGTTAACCACAGTTATGCAACAAGTATCGAACCCGTACGTAGCAATACGTTAATTTTGCGAGGAAATAGCTTTGACGAATCTAATTCGAATTATAGTTTTCAGCGACGTCGTCAGCCACATATTTTTATCGCGCTTCTGTTTTACGATCTTCATCGCCAATACGTCGTAAACCATCGAATATGGTATAATATTTTTCGGTTCCCTATCTACCTAGGAAGCCACGATAAAGTTGGCGCGTAACGTGTCGTGTGTGGTTTCCTTTGCAAGCGTTCGACAACGTTTATCAGAACGCCGTGGAATTTCCAACGGGCTCCTAGCGCGCTGGGATTTGTATCCAGAAAGGATTTCGATCCTTTGGCAGGAAAATCGGTAAGCCGACGGATTCGTAGGTGCTTTGTCTCTTAGAATACGTGATATAAAAATCGAGTTCAATCCGACGGCTATGTTCAGCGGGACGTGGCCTTACGTGGCGCAAAGCAGCCGAGCCTTTCAACGTTAAGATGTCAATAGAGGCTCCCAGCATTCAGCTGATATCATTTTGGTCGTCAACCAACGCGAGATCTTCGATTCGATCTGAGGCCCCACGACGGATTCCGGTTTCCGTTTTGCACGTATCGGTCGTTACGGAGGAAGATACCTTCTCGATCGCGCTTGGAAACGTATGAACGTGTTATCAAGGGCGGTACGGGGGAGCAAATTCACCCCCCGTGCTAGAAATATTCATTTTTCAGTCGTTAAAACATTCTGAGAACACTTCCTCCATTGTATGTTTAACAGTTAGGCGTTTTTTACGCGGAGTAATCGTTAAATTTTTGAACAATAAACCCAAGCAAATATTTTTGTTGATCGCTGTATTTGATGTAGAAATTAAAAAATAAAATTGAGTGGATCTCTGATTTTGCTGACTAAATTTCTGAATGCACCATTGACGTGATTCGAGGATCTCCCGCGTTCATCGATAATGAATATAAGACACCCGTGTATCGGCGTTTGCTGTCGATAGCAGATGGAACGGAATAAAACCGTCCGCGTCTTGGAATCGCGGTCGCACAATGAAAAGGTCGAGAATAAGGTAAACGTGTCAGTAATCGACAATGACCCAGTAACCGACACTTTCCGCACTATTAGTTAAATATTAAACTTCAAAATGATACTAGCAGCGCTCATTGAACGAGTAATCACAGCCCTGTCGATCACAAGTATACGTTTGAACTTGCCCGACTCGGTGATCTATACCTTAATAATACTTATTCGGACATTTTGAAATAGTAGTCTGTACAAATAAAATCGTCGATTAGTCTCGCGGGAAACTACTTATTACTCGTTGATTTTAAAATATATATAAATTCGTTGCAGAAGCATCCAAGCCCCCCCAAAATAATATTCTCCAACAATTTAATATTGCTTGGAGAAAAGGGAGACATAAATTCCTTTGTTCGATACGGCTCTGCGTAGAACTGAAATGCAATGTCCAGAGAGTCTACAGTCCAGACGTGTCTAAACTCTAGACATAGAACCGCAGAGAGTTAATGTCGAGCCGAAGCAATATGGCCGCAAGACTTACTGCCAGGTTTCTTTGACGCGACGCCATAAAAGGAACAAAGAAGGAAGCAAAGAATAATCGGGATAAAAAGAACAGAAAAGACTAAAAAGAATTCCTTAAAATATTTTTCTTCCTCCTCCAAAAAATTGTTTTTTTTCTCTCGATTCGTCTGTTGGTCGTTTAATTTAATTTTTATATTAAGCTGTTGTATTTAGCTGTTTGAAGAGCGTGAAAAGGTCAGATGTAGAAACGATGATAGCTACGGATAAAAATATACCAGACGAGTTGCTCTTTTAACGCATGGAAATAAGATAGGTCCTGATTTCTGACCGCTTGAAGGAAATATTTTATTTACGGGCTATTCGTGAATTTAGACCGCTACCGTTCCTCTCCGTTACTGTCCCAACCTTCTCTCTCGGCTCGTTCTTCTATTTTCACCCCCGTTTTCATTATTCATCCGGGCATACGTGTCTCGAATCCTGGACCGATCAAGAGTAACCGTTTCAGACGGGAATTATTAAAATATACGACTCGGTTCGCGCTTCGAACTTTTCCCCGCTCGATTAACCATCCGTTTATTGGCTAATTAACGACGAAACTAATTTCGAACCTCGATCATCGTATGACTTCACTATCAAACAACAAATAAAGTTCCGATTTCCTGTGATAAACGAGATTCTACTGTAAATCGAGTAGATATAGATACTATTGATGTTGGAAATTGGTCAATTGTTTTGAAGTCCACAAAGAAGTCCAATAACTCACAGTGTACACGATTCAAAAGTTCTATTGTGTTGGTTGTGCCAGAGTTCATGTAATATTAACGATACTTGAAGCCCTCGATTCTGTAATTCTCTCAAGTTCGTAGATCTTTCTCTAAAATTCACTCGAGCAGATAAATAAATTCACAAATACCGCTTTTTATTTTCGGGGCCTGAATATCATCGATACGTCTCGTGCAGGTCCCATTATTAACGATAACGCGATTGGTTTTTGCAGATATTACGCGATAGCTGCGCCGTTGCATTACGCCGCATTGGTCTCGCCGCGTCGCGTTGCAGTTGGTCTGGCTGCATCCTGGACAGGGGCTCTGCTTTTGTGCGTGCTGCCTTTCTGGGGCCTGGTCCCGCCTTACAGGTTCGTTCTTTTACTCGTAAGATCGTGAAACTTCAAAGGAATCGCCAGTCGATAAGAAACTTTCTCCCTGCTTGTTCGGAATCGACAAGCTTCGAAACCGTTCGATAATTATTTTTCTTACCGTGGACACGGAAAGAGAAAATAACAACTTCGGTTATTAGCCCAATTAATAGTCCGGTACCTTTGTTAATAAACAGGTTCGGCCCGCTTCCTCCCGATTACAGGGTTTCATTTCCGCCGGAGCCCTTTCATCGTGCCGAAGCTGCGATTAATTAAACTCCTCTCAAAATTCCGTTTCAGTACTGTCTGAGGTTTCCGCGTAGAGAACAAACACTTCGAAGTTTAAAGTAAACGATGCCCGTGGAAGATTAAAAAGGCTCAAGTTGCCATGCATTTGTCAACGTCTACAGCGTTCGTTGTTAATGATAAAATATTGCCTGATTTACAGTGCTTGTTTAACTGTTTACAGTCGCGACTGTAAGACACGAGAAAATTTCAAGTAACGGTAGCTCTTAACTCTCCAAAGCATTGCTAACTCTGGGTTACAAGCCAAATCGTAAATACGATACGAAATTACAGTCTTCTCTTACATTGTTTTATACTGCCGAGGAAACCCTTTCTATCGAATGCTCTTCCCTGTAATAGTTCGTTTTGTAATCTTATCGAGAGCTTATGTTACAATGAAATTTTCTATTTCTCTGTAGTCTTGTCTTACATTGTTCACGTGGCTGTCTTCAGAAAAAAGACGCTAGAAGCGTAGGTGTTTGCCAGAAACCCGTATTATAAACTGATTGTGAGACTTGAGGTTCCTTCGGAAGAGTCGTTTTCGGTTCTTTTGGAATTCCCAACATGGCGTCGTCCCTTACAGCTTCGTTCTCGCTTGCTGTCACGCAGATACAGTCCGAGTCTGGGCTGCTGCGCGCCGGATTTTGGGAACGCCTCGTGGGGCCTGGCGGCAGTGCTTTACGGGGCAGTGTACGCGATCCTGGGTCTGGCACTTCCGGCCGTCCTGGTCACCGTCTGCAATTTGCGTGTGCTCGGGATAGCGCGTTATCACCGGCACCGCATCGCCAGCGCGATATACGAAGTTACCTTGAGCGCTCAGGTGACCATCACCCATCAACGGAATCCGTTTTTTGTACCAACTGTCACGGCGCCCTCCGCCGTCAGTCCTCCTCGCTTTCACAGCGCGGCCAGCACGGTTTGTACAATTGTAGCTCGCGTAATTTCACCGGGCTCGGCATAATTCTCCCTTTGCGTGACCGTTCTCTATGCGAAGCCACTTTTCCCTGTACAGAATTCCGCTGAACGAGCGAGGTTCGGAGCGAACTGCTCATTATTTCGGCCCGGAAGCCACGCGTTGATACTCGACGACCGCTTTAAGGGTTGCTTTTTTTTTAGATATTTCTCTTCCGTCCATTTCCGAACAACAGTTCTTTAAATTCGACGGTTTTCTTTTTTTTTTCTTCGCAGAAATGCTTGCAATTCGCGTTAATTTAAACGGTGGAAGCATTTGTAGCCTGCTTCGCAAAGGGATAGTAAAAATCGTGTGAACATGTTTGACATACGCTCGATGTATACGCGTTGCTTTTGCTACGATGTCGTGCTTTGAATGTTAAACGAAGCATGTTGTTTCTCAAATATTTGATGTATCGTTTATTTTCCTGGCTGTTTATCGCATACGTGTTCGCAGAAATAATCACAGACACGTACCGTAACGCTGTCGGAATTTATTTAAAACGTATCATTTTATGTATGGTATTTCCCTCCAAACTATCTACCGCGCGCTCTCATAAACGACAGCAAAGTGTTGTAAAATGTTAACATCGTACGAGTTCATTTTTATCAGTAAATATTAATAAAGATCGGTTCTCGTATTTGATCGGATGGATTAAATGAAAATCGTTGATCCTTCGTTTAAAATCCATCAAGTTGAAAGTAAGTTATGGGACGATGACTTAGTTTGGATTTTAAGATTCTTTTCGACGAACGTAATTCCGATCGCGGATATTGGATTACTTAAATTAAAAAAATTTTCGAAATCCCCTTAATTTTACAACTTCATGCTGCTTTCGTTTACGATTTCTTTACGATCGAATAAACCGGAATTCGAACGAGCTCCGTGCCGTTTCGCCAGAAATGAATTTACCTGAACGATTCAGCAGCGAACGTTGAATTTTTAGGTAATGCAACTGGTCGGTTCTCTGTACTTGCTTTATTTCCCGTATTGTGGTCTCATCCTTTGGGAGGTTTACGGCGTCGGTAATCAACCTCACCTCCACGATCACCCGAAGCTGGCTTCGTTGGCCTCCCTTCTACTCGCTTGTTCTCCGCCCATCAACGGGCTCCTCTACGGCTTGAAATCACAGACCCTTAGACGATCCGTGCAGAACTACTGGCGGAAAAAGGCGACCAAGTCGGAGCTCCAGCAAGTAATGACCTCGATCTCGAAACAATTTCAGCGAATTTTATTCCTTTCAACCCCGTTCCCCGTACCTTTTTGTCCCCCAGAACTCGGTGAATCGCGATTAGCGTCGCATTAGTAATATCGAAATTGCTTTTTAACGAGACAAGAAAGAAGATAAGCAATTCGAGAGAGCGTCGAAACGTTTCAAAAGGAGAATTTCATTTTCACGGATCGATAATACGTTAATAAGATGACCTGCAATTTTTTAAACGAGTAGCCTCGCTGCGGAGAAAGAGGTTGCGACGACGTAAATGCGCTCAATTAATTACAAAGTGTATTTTAAACGATTATAAAAAATTATTAAAATATTTACCGCGACCGTATCGATCCTCGAACGAAACACGCTTTCTCCTACTTAATCATCCTTTCTCTTTCTTTCTAAGTCCGTGCTTTTAATTTACTCCTAGTCGCGAAAGAGCTAACTCGGAGCGTTGACACGTTTAATTTTCTTTCGATTCGATGTTCGAGAACGGCTGGCGTTTACAGTGATTTTGATTTAGGAGATCCAAGCAAGGACGCCGAGCGCAGCAGGATCAAGAAGGCCGTCCGCGAGCGGAACAGGTTCTTTCTTCCCGTTTCCACCGTTGCAACGAAGGCTCAGCGAGGCGTTATTGGCGCTCGGCTCCTGCAGAACTGGAAATAGTTTCGAGAGCAACAATCTCGGTTTTCACCGTACCAGACTGCAGCCTGCCGCCTCGTGCAACACGCTCCGAGTACCGACTTCCGAATCAGGTTAGCCCCGGAGTCAGAATTTCGATGCTTCTAACGTTTCAACGTTCGGCCTTTTCCCATTGACCAAACGGCGCAATTTTTATATGAATCGTAAAGGCGAAAGCAGCAAGCTAGTCAGACCCAGTGCGAGCGCGATAAGCTTGATGGGTCCACATTATCGAAGCGACTTCATCGGGGCGGACGTGGGCACCGGGTGCTCTATAGCAATGAACGAAACGCCAAAAAGAAGCCCAAGGATCCTCATAACGCGAGCTTGCAGCGAAGACAGCCAGGACGGAGGAAGTCCACTGCTGAGGAAACCCTTTCTATCGAATGCTCTTCCCTGCGATAGTACGTTTCGTAGCCTCCAAAATCTATTATTTAACAATATAATTTAAAAAGCAACGATACAGTTTGATACGTTCCATCGATAATATAAACACAAATTTCTAACCTTATCGAGAGCTTATGAAATTTTCTATTCCATCCCTTGGCTGAATTTTCTAAATTTATATTAAACGTTTTTGATTTCTAGTTTACCAAATTTTACTCGTTCAAAGGTCATAGTTTAAATAAAAACGACGTTTTGACCTTGCCTAACCGTAATATTGTGTTACGCGGTTTGCATTTCCGGTATTGCTAGTGCTACCCCACGTTTTTCTTATTTTTAATTGTCCATATTCAATGGCAGAATCAGACACAATTGGCTAATTGTGCAACAGTGTTGATAATAACGTGATGTTACAATGCAAAGTGCAGATAATATCTGCGCCGATTACGTGACAATGCAGGTTGCATAATCTTACTAGTAAGTCATTCTCATTATTTTATAGCAAATATGTCAAACACGCGACCCATTACATTTTGCAGCTTGCTTGAACTTTTTTTTTATAAGCATTATTATTTGCACGAAGCATTAATCCTTCGATAATGAAAAGTGCAAGGAAAATTGAATCCGCGCATTATTAAGGAACAAAAATCCTGTGTCAATTTCTTCCTGACAAAGGCTCGAAAGGAGAGGTCGAAACGTTGATTTCATTTGGATTACGACCTTCGAGCGACCTGGAAAATCAAAAATAAATTACCTGTTCTTGACGCGTTATCAACGGTGCACGAAGAGCGACGAACGACTTTCCGAATTGAATTTTTCAAGAATTGCGGGCGTTCATGTTTCTCTTTTTTTTCTGTACATTACGAAAGAACGGAGATGGCGGCATTGCAGCACCGGAAGCGACAGCAGTACGGGAAGTAGCGAGGCGAGCGTGTGGACGACGGGCGTCGCGCAAAAACTCACCAAGGCGAACGTAAAAAATTCATCGGACATGTGGCCGTCGTCGCGGAGATTCGCGCGCGGGAAAAACTTGGAGGAAGGGGCTCTTCTAGTCGGCGTCAGACCGAGCAATAACAGCGAAAGCAGTGATACCACGGACACGACTGCTACCACCACCACCACGACAATGCCAACAAAGGCAACCGCGATGGTAAGTCGCGTCTTCGATATCCGATATTTTTGACAAGTATTCGTACAAATTCCACCAGCGTGTTTCCTCGAGCAAAAGGAAGACGAAAATGTCGTGGGAAATACGTGTCGAAAGATAGCGAGACTGTTCGATATTCTTGGTCGTTTCCAATGCAGACTTTAGTTTTAATTATAATTAAATTATTTGAACGAAAAAAATAATTTTAGGCTTACCTGATTATTGGCGTATTTTATTTATTTCTTCTTTCGTTCGTTTGATCGCGATGTGAAAATGCTATTGTTATTTATTTTGAAGTCTATTTACCTAGACTTGACGCGGAGTAGTTAATAATTCATCGGATGTGTGGGGCTGTAGACGCACGCCGCAGCACGAGGGTTAAAGCGGTGTATGCCTGTAAATAAAATATATGTAAATGCATTGAGCAGATAAACATTCGTCGGTAAAAATATTTTACAATTATCGTTCGCGTTTAAAAAAGACGTGGAAAATCGAATACGTACGAAAGCAGAGCTGGAAGCCGCGTAATTAGGTCACGGAACGGTTTATTATACGTCGTAAAAAAAATAATTTCCGAATTAATTGGTACGAGCGTTCATTTTTTTGCGTTAATGATGTACACAGGAGAACGGAGGCTATCGGGAGAAGATAAAAGAAGAGATAGACGGCAACAAGGGGGACAGAGAACGGAGCGAGAGCGACAATAGTTGGAGCAGCGTCGATGACATCGACTCAAAGGAAATAGCGGACAAAAGTATGGAGGAGGACAATCTCGAGAAGATTGAAGAGGAAACGGACGAACAAAAGTGCAAGCAATTAAGGCGGAAATCGAAAACGATTCGCAAGCCGGACGTTCCTCAGGATTGCAAAGAGGCAGCGCAGCGCAGGCCTCTTCTCGCCTCGTCTTCTTAAGTTCAATCGACGAACAAACGTACCTTTCTCGGTCTAATTTATTCTAATTCAATATAATTTATCGGTCGAGTCAACAGCGCCGACGCGCAATGAATTCGTTCGAGCCAACGCGAAGGATAATCACTCGAAACGATTTAACCGAGTATATACCGGATGATCGAGCGCAAACGCAGTCCAGACGGAGCTCTTATTTTTTTAAGAATCCGACCACCGTTCGATCCTCGATCGTTCGTCGAACCACTTATGCTCGATATCACACGCAATATATCGACATATCCTGAAATTATATTTTTATACTTCCACTCAGCAAAGAGAAACCACCGTTAATGACAAAAGCCGTGGCCGGGCGCAGTCGCACGCCCTCGGGGCGTGCACGGGAGGCTGATTAAACGCGGCCAGGGTAATCTCGACGAAAAACTTGTCCCAGCCAACAACTCCGCGGAAAGTTGATCGCCCAATCATCCTTGTACGAGCGTCTACGAGTCCCGAGGAAAGTTCGCGCCGCGAAGGCTCTCGTTGTAATAATTTTCTTCGCCGCCTCGCCAGCGACGCTCGCGACGGAAGTTCGTCCCGGAAATTCGCGGGGGAAAAACGGCACGACGAAGTAACCAACACCCGAGAAAGTTCTTTCGACGATAGAAGTGTTTACGGATCGACGAGAAACTCGCGGTCGATCCACGAGTTGGAGACTCATCGCCCCAGGGGTCTGGCGACCTTTCGGGGCGAAAACAGACGAAAACAAAGGTATACGTGCTAGGCAGAGTTCAATGGAATTGAATGTAAATCCAACATTCGCGCGATGGATTAAATTAAATTTGTAGGAATTTAGATAAAGAGATTGCCAACCACTGTCGTACATCATCATCGATCGTAGACGTCTTAGATCGTCTTTACACGGTCCTACGAATTTGTAATAAATATTGTTCTCGGCTAGATCGTAAGGCGAGGCGCAATAATATATTGATGTTCCTAATCAACGGATTTGTAAAAGATAGAAATTTGATGCTCGTCTTCGGTTGTTTCAATGACACGTAATTTGGGACTTTGGTAAGTATAATATTTAAAATTAATACAAAAATTCGTGTTGCTATGACGGAAGTGTTTTTAGAGAAAGAAAGTTCCTATATGATTGGTTTCCCTGTTTTTTAATTGTTTCACTTTTACGTCCTATTGAAGTACCCACACGCGCGCGATTTGAATAAATGAATTATCATTATTAAATTTCTATCTTGTACGAGGAATGATAACCACGTTTTGACGTTTATTTTATTGCGAAACTCTGACAACGTCTTCTTTGTCGAGAGAAGGAATCGAAAGTCGAATAGCCGTGCGTCAGAGTAGGAATAGAAAATTAGAAGACTCGTGGTTCATCGAAAATATTTCGCGCCGGACGCGCAAATCGATCGACATAGACGGTCGTTGATCGTAGTAATTGATAATAGACGATGACTGTGCTAAAGTGATCACGCGGACGATTAATAAAGGTTAACGAAGAGCGACGAACCATCGTACGGACTCTTTTTACTAGCCAAGTTTGTACAGTTGTTTGTGAATTGTGATCTACTACTGTGTATGCACCGACACGGTAATAATTTGCAATCTAGGTGTAGGAACAATCACCCGAAATTAACCGGCGTTAATCTTGGTGGTTATTGGAATTGATGTTTCAAATTTTGTAGAACGCGAAAGAATGCGTGAGCATATGTGTGTCTGTGTATTCCCGTGACGATAGGTACTTTCAAACCGAAACGTTCTAGTTCCTGACAACACTCAACGTGACCCTTGATTCTTTGATTCTGCACAAAAGTTTACAGAACGGTCCATTCAGACTTCCCCATTTACGTAAAGCCGAGTAATTGTTTAAATTTAAATTCGATATTTCTTGTATCAGAAACATCAATTTCGTCGCGAAAGTACAAATCTTATTTAAAAAAGAACGAGGTAACGCAACCTTCTCGGTTTAAGGATCAACTACACATCGTCGAGCTGTACAGTTGATGTTGGAAGCCACGTGAATGTGTTTATCTTTAATTCGCGTGCACGGGCTATCGCTTTTAAATTCGTCAATTAGAGCACGGAAAAGCGATCTCGTCGACAAGGCGTGTTATTGTATCATTCCGACGCGAAGAACTTTGTCGGGTTCGGGCGTTGCGTTAATGTTAATAATATTAAGGTATCATCACCTAAAATGATGTCTGAGTGTATGTCGTTAGTGCAAATAAAGAAATTATTTGAAAAGCACCGATTCTGATCTCACAGTCCTTTCCCGAGTTCGTTATATTTAAAATCGACATTGGCCAAACAAGAATAACAACTCGAAGCTGCTGCCTTGTTTTTACATAAATAACTGATTCTCTGTTCCCGTTTTATTTCTTTCGTTTGTACAGTAAATACTCGTTAAGGAAGCAAAATCGATACGGTAACTACGTTGCATTATATGCAACGTTTGACTCTGTCATTGGACAAGTTGCTCGATGAAATTATTAAGCTCGACATTTTGCGAATCGCTATTACGAGACGCTCTGAAACTAGCAAAGCAACTTGTAATAGATTCACGCTGAGGATAGCTACCGGATCGTTTCGTGCCGATGGCCACGCAACCGCTAACTCTCAAACCTCATTTGTCTGTGTAATGAGGCTACAAACTTAATTTCGACTGGGATATTTTGTACCCGGCACGCTATGAAATTACCGTCCCGGGACGAAATTTTCGGTGAACGTGTGCTCGACAAATACGATTTTACGGAGCTAATACAATTAACGTTTCTTTGATTACGACTCGCGCTAACCAAAACTCCCACGTTTTGAACGCGAGATCAGGTACGAAGAAAGGAAAGTCGAGGATGGTAAAACAATGTGAGGCCTCTGGATAGCCCCTCGATGGCCTTGAACGGTCAATTGAATTTGTTACGGCTATAATTTGCGTAATGATCTATATCGCAACAACCAACGATGATACTCGCTTCAAACCTTGACCGTATACTTTAAACGAGTTATTTTTCGCATAAAACCTAAAAATTAAATTTTCTTATTAACGTGTTATTTTAAATGAATTTTCTAGTCACGATGTATTGGCTCGTAATTACGTTTTCATCGGAATGTTACCGTCAATGTGTTCAAATGTTTATGAAATTAAGTAAATTACTGTTGGTCGAGAATATGGAGGACGGCTCGGTCGGCAGTTGAAGCGTTAATGATTCGTGCGTCGCGGGGGCAACGTTCCCCAATCGTCGTCCCACGCATTCCGATCCCTTCGACCAGAAAAACTCGTAATCTGAAGATGTTACAAAAACTCGCGAGCGTGTGGCTCGAAACAAGGCCTCCATTTAGAATCACCGAGCGATTTCGAGCGCAACCCTGTCCTCTATCGCCTGGAATTCAAATAAGGGGCATTAAATTCACCGGCGCGGGCAAGAAACGATCCCTTCTACCGCGATCGGACCTCGCAAACACGTTTCGAGATGTTTTCGTCGAGAGTTCTGCCGCTCGACGAACAATCTCGCCTGAGCACTGCGCGATAAACCGCGTGTCGGAGCGACACGTTTGATGTCCAAAGTTGCAACGGGTTTCTCGGACGATTACGGGTCGCTTCTTCATCGGGCAACCGTGTTCTAACGTTATTCCACGTCGGTTCCGTATTTTGGCTTAGTGCGCGAGCAATCGTAGCATCGAAAAACCTCGGAGTATGAAACAGTCAATAACCCCGCGGAAGGAATACGACCTCTAACTAAGGTACTTGAACCAATTTTTTTTCTATACGTAAAACACTCAAATCTGATCGTACAAACAACCGAATATTCATCGACACGCAAGTATTACTATTTATAAACGAAAGAAAAATAGATTTTCTTTGGTCGGCCGTGAAAAACATACACATATTCGGATAAACCTAAACTGAAAACCGTGAAATCTTTTTCGTAAAAACGTATGTAAAGTTATCCAAATCAGAATAATATTATTCTTTAAACGTTTCACATTTAATTTTTTAAATATAATTAACGTTATTTTAATTTCGAACTTTTCGTAACGTTCTCTATGAAATATAACGATATTCAACATAGTGTTTCTATAAATGTAAATACGCTTTTTTATTATTAGCAGGTGAAATTAATTGATGATGTTCGTACAGATGCGTATTTTACATAGAAAAGTGGAATCCGGACTGAAAGTTTATTTCCTTGTTAGAAATTTTTAAACGTGTACTTTTTGTTTTGTATGTTTTACTTCGACATACTTATCTGTTACGACAAATAAAAGTTATTATTCGGGTGTTTGCTAAGATAGCTAGTTAAAAATGGATACTTGTCGACAGTTACATTATTAAAAGTTATGACAAAGAAAAAGCAAATCTCAAAGAAAAAGACTACCTCGAACTCAGAAAAATTATTGTTCGTAAAATTAACTATACAAATATAGTTATATGTTCCTTTTTATATAGAAAACTTTTGCGTTATCAATAGGAAGACTCGTGCTGTGCACATCTCTAAAGCACGTGAAAGAGTGTTCATATCGCTATTTTCGTCATAACTAATCATAATTCTAAATACACGAACAATTTTTCATACATGATATGTTCCCCATCTAGTTTTGGTCAAATGATTCAGGCTGCTTGACAATCGTACAGCGTGGCTTCTTAACAATTTCGACAAATTTTTAAACTGTGACTATAGAGGAACATGACGCGGAGACATAGCTTTGCAAAAATAGAAGAATCGCGAAAGGAACCGAGGTAAGATCGCTAAATTATACTATTAAATCTTGAATTTTTACGATTTTATTTCATCGAGCTCCGTAGAATATTCTTGAGTTTTTTAAACACAGAAATCACGAATATTATTTTTATAAAATTCATGTGTTGGAAATTAATAAAAAGCCAGTGAATTTTTTAAATCGTTCTGACATTGCTCTACGTAACTATTTATGTTTTGATCCGCTTCCGTTGTTTGTCGACCAAGTTTAAATATGTAAAGCAAAACAAATTTTCACGTTCACGGACACCATTATTAACACGTTCCGTACCGTGGATACGAGTCAATTAGCTTAAATAATGAGCATCACCTTACCAGCTAAACAAATAACGAAGATATTTACATACGACGCTTGATAACCTAAAGTAACAGAAAATAAACATTGAACTATGAAATGAGTCGTTTAAATAAAGAAAAGAAATGAATAGATTGTTCTGCGGGTCCTGATAAAAAATGACTATAATCCATAGTGATCGTGTCGCTAACATTTTCAACAAATTAAATATTCAGCTATTGAGAGGGGAATATAAAATTAAGATTTGTTTTATCGAGTGACCTTCTTAGAATATGTTACATTATCAAACGAGTCGCGATAAAGGAGCGGTAGACAATGCGAAATTTAACGTTCGGACGTTAATTCGTTCGCGTTTTGCTGAATCATATTATACAGTGCTTAGCACTACCTATAATTGTCGAATATCCGTTATAAATTGTCGCAATTGCATGCCACTTCCCGATAGTTCGTCCCGTGCGGTCTACGACCCAGATTATAACTCCTCTTAACATGTTGACTGCCATACTAAATTCGCGTGAGTCCCACCGGACCATGGTTTTCTAGTCAGATTATTTAACAAAAAGATTGACCGTATTCGGTCAAACAATACTATGTATATTTTATTCGAACCAAACAACAGTGTAAGCTTAACTTACCAAGTATAACGAGCTTTAGATTTTATGTTTTCCCAAATTTTTAGCAGACTGCAATTTAGCGTCTCATGCAACTACCATTTTGTTTGAAAAGAAGAAAATTTTTTCTACCTTCTACGAAATAAATTAATATTTTCTTGATAACTATATTTCTCATTTGTATACTTTGTTCCAAAAGTTTCAACTACGGCAATTCTACACGCAAAAATCAAGTTTAAAAGTGGGTGGTTTGCTCGCTATGAATGTTACGACACGTTTCTATTTAACCTCAAAGTTTTTAAATGAATGTCAAGATATATGCTAATACCTTTTGAAGAAAATTAAAAGGAAAGCAATATACATATACTCACAATTTTGAAAATATAGATGACATGTAATAGCTTATTAAACAGTTCCAAATATGTAGCGGTATGGTTAAAGCGGGAATGGAAGGGTTAAGCAGCTCATCGAACCTTGCAATTAGACGTAGAACTATTTCAAAAAGCTTGTTTCTACTATCGATCCTCTTCTCGTAAATAAGTTTGTTGTCTGGAAAATGTATTTGTTCTTTAGTCGAGCATAGGAATGTGTAAATGTGTTTAACAGAATTACTACACTGTACACGGTACAAAAAGATGCTAATATGTAACATTTTTTCAAATTGTGGTAAACGCATGTGCACGTGACGAAATAATTCTGCACTAATGGCGACGAACGCGCAAACTCAGATTGATTTTCTTCGGTCAGCTGGCGTTGGTCGCATCCGAACGATGTGGTTAACATTTCGTACGAATTTCGACGGCCGATTTCAGCTGCGGTGCGCACGAGATGGCAAGGAGGTACTCGATAAAACGAAATCAGGAAAGGAACAAGAAAGCTCGATTGTAAATGGTGATCAAGAATCGTCGGTTTCACACAGTGAGTGTTAAATGTCGATAGAGCTGAACGCTACGTTAGGTCCTGTCAACGTGTGTATTTAGTCGAACAGTCGAAAGGTGGCGACAGCTGTTCTTTCGGTGTCTCGATAACGGTTATCGTTGTAGCTAATATTTCGATAATGAGATGGTTAACTTTGCTCGTTTTCTGATCCTCTTATATAGCAAAAAAATATCATGATCTCCTCACCACCGTCCAGCACCAGCTCCGCGTACGCTAGTACCGACGATGTTCGTCAGTACTATGGCAACGACAAACGAAACTTCCTCGATTCGGACGACGTCGGAACCGCTCGGCTCTTGCGTTCGTATTCGCCTGGTCGCAACAGAACGAGTAGATTTTTCACGAGACACTTTGTCAACAAGTGAGTTGCTTTTTTGACAAGTAACTCTGTAAATATGGACTGAGAAAACATGAATTTGTCGTAACATGTAGCCCCATGATAACACTTCCACAAGGTCCCTCATCATCGAATAGATAGAGCTCGATCGTACAATCATTTTAAAACAAAAAATGTTTATCTACGGACGAACTGTTCATTAATTTATCAATGCTCGTAAGTCATAGTTCCCGATAATCCGTCATTGTTGACATTGATGTATCGTATAACGAAAACAAAGCTTGATAATGTTAACTTAGCAATGTCACAAAAGAATGAACATAAAGAATGATATCTTGAAACATGCTTACTCGTTCGTGACTTCAACTCTAATCAAATTTGAATTGTCCCGCTCCATACGTAATTGCCTGAATCTGAGTTTGCGCGTTTCATGATTATACAATATGTTAAGTAACGGATTCAAATCTAATGCCACTGTGGCATAATTTATTTATAATTATTCAGCAAAACGAGTTTTCAGCAGAAATCCAACGTTCTAGATTAACAATCGAATAAATACACTTACCAGAATAGAGCGCACATAACCTCGGCGATGATTTCACTACCTCTTCTTTGTCGCTGATTTACTTGAAGTTTTCTAAAATCAATATCAATTCGATATTTACATTAAACAAATAATGTTGATCATGTTACATTTTATCAAAAAAATTATTCACCGGAAGATTAACACGTATTTAAATATTTACTTGTTGTAATACTTTGATCACAGGATTTTGTAAGATTAGAGTAAATACCACACACGTCATGTGCACTCGCAATAATGCAATGCGCGTAATTCCGTATAACGAATCTTTTATACCCACACTCTAATAATGGATTACTATCGTAACATTTATCGAAATTAATGTTTCAAATATTTAAATATTAAAAAAATTATATAAATTATTTTATGCTCAGTGCTTACTAGTGCTAAAATTGTAAAAACCGTACCGATGCATTTTATTAAATTAAAGGTTAATATACTTGTTATGCCTGGAATCGAATTCAATGGACCTTGATATTATTTAGCAATAATACATTTTCAGGTTTTACCTTACCACAAAAAATATTGTAATAGCCGGTATAGTATTAGCAACGATGATTCTTGCGGTAATAGCAGTTTGTAGTATTTATGGAATCAATAGAGAGTTGGAAAATCAGGAAAACGAAAAAATACCACCTGATCCAGAAACGCCATTACCTCCATCATGGAGCCAAACGAGAGTTTTCAAACGTGGTGCTGTTTGCGCGGATGGCGCTCCATGCGCTGTTGTTGGCAAGTATGTAATCTATAAAAATAAATAAATAAATAATTAATGATAATGTACGAATAATATACTTAGACTTTTTTGGGGGTTTTTAACTTAAAAACTACGACAAATTTATATTAGAAATATGAAATAGTCTAACTTTTTAAATTGTAGATCTAACGATTCTTTGCAGATCGATGTTAGAAAGAAATGGTTCGGCGGTAGACGCTGCTATAGCTTCAATGATTTGCAACGGTCTTGTGAATATGCAGAGTATGGGTATTGGGGGTGGATTCTTTATGACAATTTACGATAGAACGGCAGGACGTGCATACACGTTGATCGCAAGGGACCGGGCTCCATTAGCAGCCAATGCTACCATGTACGATGGAAAACCTAGAGATGCATCATTTATCGGTAAATTTACTGCTTTCTTTTTTCCTTTATTTCTTAAGTAAATAAATAATAAAATCGATAAATTCATGAATCTGATAGGTCCGTTGGCCATCGGTACTCCCGGAGAAGTAGCAGGCTACTGGGAAGCTCACAAACGTTTTGGTAAATTACCATGGGCCGATTTATTTAAACCCTCGATCGAATTGTGCGAAGAAGGATACAATTTAACAGAAATCCAATACGACGGATTCAAATATAACGCACAGAATATTCATAAGGATCGTATATTAAAGTAACCGCAGGCATTGCAATTAATTGTCCATGAGTGCGATAGTAATGTTAATAAGATACGCTTTTTTCAGACAGTTGTTCGTCGATCCCGAGACCAACGATTTCTATAAACCAGGATCAAATATCAAGCCAAAGGTACTTTGTAAGACTCTGCGGATAATCGCGGAAAAAGGCGCATTAGAATTATACAATGGCACCATAGGCAAGCTTTTAGTGAAAGATTTACAAGAGAAAGGATCGATAATAACGATGGAAGACTTAAATACTTATAGGTAGATGTTACTCAAATGACTAAATACTACAAACTATTTGCTGGATGCTAAAGAGTAATTATTTCTAGAGCTACGTGGGAAGAACCAATACAGACGAATATCTCCAACGGAGTAAGAGTTTACACCGTTGGTATGCCTGCCAGCGGAGCTCTGCTTACATACATCTTAAATATTTTAGATAATTTTCATTTCACGTCCGATAGCACCGCTGATTACAACCGAACAATTCTTACATATCATCGGATGATAGAGACATTCAAATACGCTTATGCGTTGAGAAACGACATGGCTGATAAAGATTTCGTCGATATGGAAGAAGTTAGTAAACTTCTCAAAGATCGTTAGTGGAGTTCACCAGGGATCTGAGAATACTATATTATTAACATTTTCCAAAAGATTACCATTTATACATAGAAATCCTGAACTCCAACGACTTATTTACTCGCTCGCTAATATATTTTTGTTTGTTCAAGTTAACAGAGAACTTGACATCCAGGAGTTACGCGTACAAAACTCGCATAAAGATTGACGATCATAGAACGTGGGATGATCCAACGCATTACGGAGCATCTACCCTAAGCAGCGCGAAAGATCAAGGAACCGCGCATGTTTCAGTATTAGCGCCAAACGGAGACGCAGTATCAGCCACTAGTACTATCAATCTCTAGTATGTTTCAATCTTTATAATATACATTCATTAATGTGCATAATGTAAACATGTATACGCAGAATTCTAAAGAAGCACAAAAAATTAATATTAATAGTTTGAATAATTCTATACTAGACGATTCTTTTTTTTGGTAGTTTCGGAAGTGGAGTTACTAGTGAAAGTACTGGAATATTACTAAACAACGCAATGAATGATTTCGGTGTACCATCAACGGTCAACTACTTTGGCGTTCCACCTAGTCCAAACAATTACATTGCGCCTGGAAAGAGACCTGTATCATCGATGGTACCCTCGATTTTGGTTGACGCGAATGGTGACGTGAAGATGGTTATCGGTGCTTCCGGTGGCACCAAGATCACCACGACCGTTTCTCAAGTCAGTATTTAGTAATTATTTTTATCATACATTTCGAAAACACTATGTGGCGATTAAAATACCATTAAAAATTCGTATAAAAACTGCTCGTCATACAGAGTGTAAATGGTGTATATTTTACAATTTTAGATAATTGCCAAGATTATGTGGATGGGACAAACGGTGAAAGAAGCCGTGGACGCACCGCGAATACATCATCAATTGTTTCCATCGGAGATATCCTACGAATACGGTATTCAAAAGCAAGTGGTAGATGGTTTGAAAAAGATAGGTCACAAAACCTCGAGGTACAGAGTTCGTGGCAGCGTAGCGTGCGTAATTTGCGTCGTTAATAATACAATTTACGCGAACGCAGATTTTCGAAAAGGCGGCGACGTGTATGGACTCGACTGAATGATTATTAATAATACGTAAACAGTATCTTCCAATATAAGGTACGGGTCTTTAAACTTAAGAGTTCATCCACAAGTATTGTTTGATTCTTCGATGCTAAATTTTTAAAATCTTTGACCTTAATAATATACGAAATCGTTTTAAACAAGAACTTCACGCTGTTGTAAAATTCGTCCTATACGAAATTTGTGCGAATTTGGACTTTCTCAATAAAATTTTTTCACGTATTATACCCTTTTAACTATCACCTCTTACACTCGCTTCGAGAAGAAGCTTTTGATAAAATTTATACTCCTGCCATAATAATAAATATTTATACATGAAATTTGTAGACTATAAATTCTAGATTACAAACGAATATTCTTTGTACATTTAGGGTTAACTCAATTCCTATGATAGAACTATTCACGAATGCTCGTAGAATGTTAACGATGAAGCTTCGCAAGTTCGTTAGAACGATGAATACTATTTTCTAAATCGAGCAATCTATTAATAGTTTCGAGAAAGTAGTTTGTACTTTCTAGTTTAGATGTATTTAAAAATATAGTTTAGAAAAATGGCATGAAATGGCTCGACCATGACCACGTTATACACGAGAGTACGTACAAAATGATACATCGTAGATGGCGTTGAAGGGAACGTATCCCGCCTAAACTGGTTTCCTGTTTCATCGTTGGTATATACACATATATGTATTCGCTTCTTTTGACATTCTCGACGTGACTAGTAACAGGATTCGATCGCTTAACGAGATTGTACGCGTATGCGGCATCCTTTCAACCGACTTCAGTTTTGCAAAGTCGACATTTTCTGGCAGTTTCGCGTGTCCTCACGGTTAATAAACTACTTTCGACTTCTATGTGCTGAGAGAACAATAAATACATACATACATACGTGACAAAAGTATCGAACGAATTGCATTTTGTGCGACCACATCAGAAAATGAATCGCAAAAATTCAACTTTTAAATGATAAAATTAAACGTATTCGATGTGTCCGATAAAACTGTGCAACGGAGTCGCAGTTAATTTTTTATTTGCAACCTTGAAAAGCATACTGTGACCTGAGTTGCAATATTTTTAATGCGACTCGTTGAGTCATAACTGTCGATAAGCGAAGACAAGAATTTAAAAACTACTTTCAATACCATGTTCGTTCAAGATTAATTTATAACGTTCCCCCCTTCAATATACAGTTTGTTTTGTTATGAGTCTACCGTAGCGATATATTTAGCTGCACAAGTCATTTGTAATAAACGATTAAGATCGTAAATACAATACATTCAAAGCCAATTATAAACACACTTGTGTCTACAATGTGTCACAGTACACGTAACTTGGAAACTGGAGACGTAAATAACCACATCTGTCTTTACAAAAACGTATGAACGTGCATAATGTCACGTATATTTTCGCATACGAGGCTTAATTAGCATCTGATAATAGTGCATAATCTTCGGTAATTAGAGCATATCGATACTCGAACACCAATAATATTCGAGATTGTACAATTCCAGTTAATCTGGAAATTTCTTCAGCCCGGCTATGTTTTTACGCCGATAGAGTAGAAAACACTATCTGATATCGGATTTTTATTTACCACGCTCAATACGTATATTATATATCTTGGCACAAGTCGGTGAACGATAGGAGTAAACATTTACCAACGTATTGCTTACGAAGATATCGAACTTCTAGAAATAAATACTACAGCAAAGAGCCGATAACGCATGCGCGATAAATCTGTTTTGTTTGTTGACAAAAGTATGATTTTTCACGTATGAAAATGTGATATATCCAGTTTTGAGTACATTTAGCAATATACAGCATTTCGTTTCCAGAATCGAATAACAAGGTTTTATAAAAAAAAACTTCCGAGATTACAGCCAAATATGCGCAGGTAGTTTCTAAGCTACGGAACTGTACTATCAAGGTTGTTTGTATACAATGTAAATGAAACGTTTCAAATGCTTATATGGATGTTTAACAAGCAATATTAGATAACCTTAGTTTTTGTTTAGTTTACGTTCATCATACAATTATGCGTACGTAATAAAAGACTCCAGTAGATGGAACATGTAAAGGTTTCGCAGCATTCAATATAGAATAACGTACGATTATTTGCTGAATATAGATATAGATTACGAACCTTTCTGCGGTCATTGCAGATGTTCCGTTAACCTCTGTAGCCGGTAACATGTTGAACGTCTTGTAAATACTTAGTGCGAAGTTCTAGAACATTCTCTGCCGTACATTTTCACAGAAATTTCACTTAAATGCATTTCGAGCCGTAGCGGCGACAAAACTTAGGCTTTTTACTTCTTACAAATTAAATTGATGTTAGTTTATGCTATGATACGAATTGGTAAAAGGACTTAACGGTTAAAACAGTGTTTGCATCAGGCATTCGAAATGCTAGAGGCATCACTGTACGCCACGCATGCGTGATATCTTTAGCAAACACTATATAAGGAGCCATGAAAAGCGGCGTCCAGATAATATCGAACTAAAAGTGAGAGCGCAAAGTAATATTCTCGGCAGTGTTTACGCCGTTATTTTCAAAGTATATTTTTTGAAGATTCAAGAGCTATGTCTGACTACTACGTTGATGAATACGAGCATTTTAACTACGATTACGACAAGCATATCTTCACCGGCCACAGTGGTAAACAACGAAGCAAACGCGAAGCTTTGACACATACAAATCATTTCGATCCGTGCGGCCATTCTAGAAAGATCCTGACTAAATTGATGAATTCTGAGCACAATAAACGAAATGCTGGAAAGACCAAAGCATAAATCGTAAGCAAAGTTTATTAAATTATATCATAATTTCTGACGCGTTATTGCTCGAGTTAACGTTATTGATTCGTTTAGCCAGAAAGGTCCGCAACCTTGGCCGGGTTAATGCGTGTTTATGTCTTCGATGTTTTACTGCGTACTTGAAATTTATATTACGTAGAACTACATATGTATTAATGCAGCTAAATGCCAAGCAGCTTGAATTTAATTAATTTTTAATTTCGTATTACTATTATTATTATTTGCCTCTTTGTAAATTACTTCCGAGATACTGTTCTTTGTTTCTTTTTGTAACTGCGCAACCATTTTAAAGGTGAGTCATTTCTTACGCGAACACTTGTTGCCTTTTACTTTATACTGAAATAAAAGCTTTACGAAAAACGATAACATCGATCATTTTTAAAAACAGCGAAAACTTTGAAACACGTACCAAAAATTTATTGATTATTTACTTTTTTCTTATTAAATCCGTTATTGTTCTCTATTTCAGGACCTTGGAGTTCGACATCCTATTTTTGGAAGAAGTATTCGTTCTTCAATTTTGACGAACTGGAACCTCCTAGATATATACTATATTAAGCAATCAATTTTTTCATTTCCTTTATTCTCAGCTATGCATTTAGTCGTTAAACATAGATCACTTAGAATAAGATAATCATTAGTACTTGGTACAAATAGGTAGTGTCATATAATCATCACTATTTTTCATGATATATCATAATTTGTAGGATAAGTGTATCCTGATTAGACTATTCCAAGATCACCTGTGTTTGGAGTTTTCATAGTATGATAAGAAAAATTAAATGTGTATATTGGATTTACGCACATTGAGAATTTGTAGCTACCAAGCATCTACTTTGAAATACAATTACTGAATGTAATATGTAGTGATTTATTTGACTATGCAAAAATATGTCATCATTTTGTTTTCTAAGATATATTAAGTTAAACCTTTGTTAACTTGGCAAGACTATTAATTTCAAGTACTGTAAAGTTCAGAGAAATAAAGATAACTGAAATATATACTTGTGATAAAATTATAATAAAAAAATATATAAATTTATACTCGAATTCATGGCTTTCGGCTGGATGCCGCGTCCGTGTTCAGTGATTTGCCGACGTTTCGCAGTTTGCATTTTCAGGGTTGAAGGCTCTGGTTTGAGATCTCCTGTTTTTTGGAAGTCTATATATCGGTAGTTATTTGCAAAACGCCGGCAAATCGTTGAACAGAGACGCGGCATCCATCTAGAAGCCATGAATTCGAGTATAAACTCAGGCCGCGAAAACCTAAAATCTCATAAGAATTTATAATTACTAAAAAAAATAAGTACAAAATAATCTTTGAGAAACACTGGAAATGTTTCAATAGTTTTTTGATTCGAAAAGAATATTAAGTAACTTAAAGTCGAAAATATTTATGATTATATAATTTCGTAAAAATAATATTGTATCTATATGTCCTGAAATTTACACTTAGATGTATATATTTATGTATTACTAAATTAAAATGTATAGCATTAAGTTTGATAGAATATAATTATTATTATATAAATGCATTTGTGTAAAATTCTAACAAAAATAATTATATACAAACGGTATACACGTATCACTTACAATACACATTTGGCTTATTTGTTGTAAGAAAGTATAATAATTAAAACAAATTATTTTAATTGGTACTTATCAAAGTTTAACTCCTGTCTTAAGATTCCAGTTAATAAAAATTCCGTAGACTGTATAGTGACAGTTTTTGGAGCTTTAGCGAGAAACTTTTTTGCGTTTGCTAAATCTTCCGATCGAGAAATGATTACTGCTCGTTGTGGCCATGATGATGGCGCTCGAACTAACGCTTTACCACCGCACGAACTTATTATACTTTTTAATTCCGGTAAAGGTGGAGGTGCTACATTGGGTGTTAGTAGAATTGTGTATCCTTCTAACAGCTTGTGTTCTTTTGCCTTTTCTAAGCTTCCTCTTAACTTGAACCCAAATTTAGCTTCCGCAACAGGGTCTTTCAAGATATAATTTTTTAATTCCATAAAGTGGCCAGCTTTTTCACTTTCAATTAACCAATCGATTGAAACTATTGGTACAGATTGCGCTAATGCACACAAAAACTTAACAGTTCTTCGTACTTTGTCTGTGACCAGTACATCACATTTTGATGCATCTTCAACTTGCGAGGCACCTATAAAAAAACACGGCAAAATTATACTTGAATCAAATTGTAATTTATTTTCATATAGAAGTTATATTTACCCAATTTTGTTAATAATTTGCTGTAGTCGTTCGTAATACCCGTGAATAAAATTTTATGCTTTACTTTGAGCGGCGATGATGCTGATAATGAAGAAGACATACTTCTGCGTAATCTGGTAGGCGTTACAAGAATTGATGCATTATCAACACAGGAATTCATTTCTGATGAAGAATTGTCCTCTATGAAATATTCACTTTGTTTTTTCTCAACTTTAAGCTTCTCTGCTTTCGGTTGTCTTCCTCTTGATCTAGTACTATTCACTTTACTCGACGTATTCTTTACAAAACTTGCATTATTATTAGTTTCTAAATGATCCGACATTGAGGAATCGGAAACTGATTGTTGGGAACCACGTGTTAATCTGAATGGTCGTTTATTGCTCGTCTTTGTTGTTGTATCAGGTTCATCTTCTGGGATGTTAGTGATATTTGAAGAATTTTTAAACGTTTTTGCTCGTTTAGCTTTTGAACTGGGTCTTTGAAATTGTTCATTATCAAATTCAACCAAATCGGAAGAATTACTGTTTAAGGAATCGTCATCCGTGTAAATGACCGCGTTTGCACGTTTTCTAGAATTTCTAGTTCTGCCACTTATTTTTTCATTTATTTCTGTCTTTTTGTGCGTGTCTAAATTAGTACTTTGATCTTTAAGCGAACCATTCATTATCATCTCAACTTCTTGTGATTCTTCTCCACCCTGAGAGCAGACAATTTCTACCTCACATTGGCGTCTATTCGTTACTTTCTGACTCTTGTTTCCTCGTGTCCTCACATTTTGTACAGCTTCCTCAGTTTCCGTAGTAACTGCATTGTTTGACGCAACTCGTTTATTGACGCGTTTTCGACGAGTTTGTTTAGTTTCCATGTTGTTATTTTCAACTATTGACTCGGTCGGGATACTTGGAGATAAACAGCCTGTTTGTTTATTATGAGATACTTTCATAATTTTAATTACCAATTGTTTAGACTGTAAGTTTTCTTGACTAACTGACGGCTGCGTGTTACATGGATCTTTTACATTGACTGGCGAGTTTCGTTTAATTACGTAATCAAGAATATTACTGGAATTTTGGTTAACGATTGTGTTTCTAGCGGTACTCTTTCTACCTTTGGTACCTCTAGAGTTACTTTTATTGGCATCGCCCTTACGCATTTTTGCGTTACTAGTTTCAATTATATCTGTCGAGTTGAGTGATTTCTTTTCAAGACGTGAAGAACTTGTAGTTCTTTTCGCAGGTTCGGTAGCTGTGTTTCCAATCAAATCTTCGTTTTGTACCTGAAAAATAGACGAATTATCAACATTCTCTTTGCTGGAACGACGAGTCTTTCTATTGCTCTGAATGGGAGGACTATATCTTGTTTGTTCTTGTGAATCGATAGCAGAAATTGATTTTTCTCGCGATAGAGATGCATTCTTTTTGGATTTATGTAAGGTTTCAGATGCTATTTTCCTCGTCGATTGCTTAGACGGTTTAGTTATTCTTTCATCGTCACTTTCGTGTACTTTTGTGGACGCTTTGTCGCCATCAAGATGACTAACTCTTCCCAAAATTGGCGAAGAATTCAATTTACTAACACGAGGTTCAGCATCTTCCGCGTTCCCACGAACAGGTAGTTTTCGTGTTGATTTCCGCGAAGTTGGTTTCTTTCTAGGTACAGCCTTTTTTTGGCCTCGTTTCTTTGATATCGGCGTTGTTGGACTTGCTGGGTTAGATAAAGTACCTGAAATTCTAACTTCAGGTAAACCAGCTAAAATATCATCATCATCATTATTCAATATCAAAGAGTTTAGTCGTGATTGTCTGGTATTCACTGATGTTATCGATATTTGATCATCCGTTTTGGAAGATTCTTCCAACATAACTTTGTTATTCTTAGATTCGTCCGTTTTCTCTGTGACCGTTTCAGACACTTCCAATTCCACATTTTTATTTTTTGCCAACGACCTTGGCATTGATAAACGTTTAGGTGTAGACCTCAATAGTGTTTCACAAACACTAATGGTTTTATTATTCATAGCACTCGTAGCTTCTGACATTGTTTCATGTTCCTCTTCTTTGCTATTGTCTGATGTATTTTTAACAGGGCCAGCAACGTCTTGGGAATTCAATAAAACATTTTGTTTTTGCGTCGGAGTAAGATTGGCGATATAATTTCCCGCATTTTGTGATTCGTCGTCGATAGTGATATTCTTTAAATTAGATCTACGATTCTGTTTTCGCGGCGTTGAATGAGATATTAAATCAATCCCTGGAGTTTTTCTTTTTCTACCTTTTGGGGATTTCTTTACTTTATTATTTGTTGGGGACTCGCTATCTACGTTATGACTAGTGTCAGATTTATCCTCGCGTTGCGACGACTGCAAAATATTTGTAAGAACCTGGGTTGACATCAGCGACTGGTCTTCTATATCGTCCTCGTTCACATCCTCGAACATATCATTTAGATTTTGTTCCAATGTATCATTTAAATTTGTTTCTTTCAATTTTTTTGAAGCATTTTTCCTATCGCCATCATTTGGTACAGATTGGCTTTTGTCGACCTCGCTGATTAATTGCGTTGGAGCCATTTCATAATCGATATCTTTATCGCTGTTTCCATCCACGGAGTTTGGATTCAAAAGGTCAGGACTGGGTGATTCACTCTCAGCAGATTCTGGAACCGTCTCGGAAATGTTCATTATTTGAGTAGGCATATTATCGTCCATTTCGGTAATATCTTTTTCGGTAGATGCTGCATTATTTTTTGTTAAATCGATAGGCTTGTTTACACTCGAGGGAGATTCAATTGGTTGAAGAATTTGTGTCGCTGCCAAATCGTCGACTTCTATCTCCTTCATCTTTGCGTTGTCTTCAGATTTATTCGTTTTGATTACTTGCGTTGGCGCATCAAAATCAACGTCAACTGTAGTTAATGAATTTTTGCTCTTTCGGTTTACCTGTTGTGTAGGCATCTCGAATAGGTCGTCCGAGTCCCCACTTGTAACTTCTTTACTTGCATTCTGTCGCGCCTCAAAACTCAGACATGCTCGTTTTTCTTTCACGGCTATTTCCGTGAATTGACCTTCCTCGTCCGTATCCGAATCTTCGCTTTTAAGTGACTGACTTTTCGAAGGGTTTTGACTATCTTGACTGGCAATACGCGAATACCTTTGAAATAAACATTCTTGATCAGTGTCATCAGAGTCATCTTCCACTAAAGCAGCTTTAAGTGGATACTCGACGGATCGAGTAACGGTTTTGAAAACATTTCCATCCTTGGCGTTGACTTGGGTTGCCGCGTCAAATATGCTCTCATCGTCGGTGCTCTTTTCAGTCGTTTCATTGTTACTCAGGCATGAAGACTTTGTAGACGTCGATGCTTTTGAATGTGATTTATTCAGTACATCGTCATCTCCAATCAAGTCCTCTAATAAATTTTGCGAACCAAGTAAATTATGGCTTTTATCGAGCTCTGAACAGTCATCCTCAAAATTTGTCGAAAGCGATAATTGCAGGAAACCTTGTGAAGTTTTCTGAATACCTTCGGTTTGCTCATCGCGCATAGCAATATCTTGTTGTTTTATAGTTACGACTGTTTTAGACGTATTATTTCCTTCGTATTTATCGTCATGAATATTAGCATTATTGGAACAGCACCCCTCTTCAGCTTCAATATTTTGTACATGCATCTTATTACTGCCTTTAGTATCTTCTGGTAACTCTGTTTTTTCTGTTTTATTTTTCTCGACATCTCGAGTGCTATCCTCAGCATCTTGTGTTGAAACGTTCTGACACCCAATCGCTCTTGATGTCATTACATTATTGATGTCTATGTCATATTGAGTGTCCATTTCGTGGATATCAGAAACATTACCTTGCATCTGTAAGTTCTGATCGTTTTGCGTTTCCATATCATGAATGTCAATTGGCTTCTTGTTTTCAGTAGTTGTAATCTTACTCGTGCAGATCTTTTGAGTTTCAACGTCGTGGATATCCGTATCGTTCAGCGATTCAAACGATTTCTGCGTCTCCATATCATGAATACTGACCCTTTGTGCACCTACATTTTCCTTTTCCCGCTTAGTGGAACTTGATGAATCGTCCATGCTGTCATCAGTAGAAAAATCATAAACAATGGTTTTCTTAATGTTACTGCTGTTGCTGTTGTTGCTGTAGTTATGTTGAGGTATACAGGGACGTCGAAATACGGATGTTTCATCTCCACCTTGAGTGCTAGGTATTACAGAGTCATTCCCCTCCAAAGCGGTTGAATTGTTCTACATCGAAAACGTATAACATAGAAAGGTGATTTTTAACCATTAACCATGGTATAATTACCATTGACGAGTCAGGTGTTCCTGGTATAATCAGTTTCATTTGACGTGGCGGTGCCGGTGTTTCTGGGATCAAAGAGTCATCCATTGAATAATGGAGCTTGTAAATTGCGCGAACCATGCCAAATTCGATCACGGTTCCATCTTTCAATTCATAGCACCGCCCCGGCCTTAATATTGACTATATAAGAAAGTACAAGATGTACACATTTTATTAAGGTTCATAAAACCTTTATGATTCAAATTCTAAATTGTCCATTCGAGTACCAAATTAATAGTTCAAAGAGTTGGATCAAAAAAAAGATAGAATATACTTCAACTAACTATATACGTAAAAAGTTAAAATTAGAATTAAATGACATTGTAAAGAGTGCAATGAAACTTCAACAATCTTGGCACTACATCTCAAAGTAATAAGTAGGGTACAGTTAGAGTAGATGAAGTATTAGATAGCCATCTGATATGATCAGTTACGTTTTGGAAGAACAGCGAACACTCTGATTCTATCTTATCAGCTAAAGATTTATAAGGATAGACTAAAAAGTAAATATGGTACATTGTGAATTAACTATAAGTGAAGAGTGATAAGATTTGAATTTAAAATGGTTATATGCACAGATAAAACTGCATTACATTGTTGAGTTTTGTTTTATTGGAAGAATTCAGATCGCAGATCCATACGGATGTCTCACAACTGCTTGCTTCGATTTCCGCGTGCATCTTAGATACCGTCTGTAAACGAAATTAATCTTCTTACTATACAACTACTGTTGTCTTAATATTATAATTCTTAAACGTTGAATACGTTTATTTTTTAATATACAACTTTAAAATTGCCGAGATATACAACTTGTGGTTCACGCGATTCTGATCGATATCAATTGTTCGCTGTCGTGTGTTTTTATTTATTGCATGTGCCAAAAGCCACGCTTACGACGTCTATCATGGTATAACTCTTATCGAAATTGTGCAATTCTGGCATATCAATTTTATTTGTGTTGTATAATCTTCTGTGTACAATTTTATGACTGCACTAATTTTTATTTAAATATTGCATCTTCTTCATTCAGAACCAGTATTCTCTTCAAGACATTTTACAATTACACATAACACATCACTGTTTATCACTTTTCAGTGACTCAGTTTAATTTTATCGTGTTACTTCTTTTTTATGAAGAAGTTTGCTCCGTCCAATAAATGATTAAATTATTACTTTAAATAAATAATTTATCTCTAAAGGCTTGTAACGCGCAAACGTCGATGTATATTAACATGCATCTAAAAAATTTAACGCGTACGCTAAATTTTGAGTCGTAATTTACAATAGAATTTGTTCAAATTTATAAATTTATTAATTATAGAAGTCAATGGCGAATTGAGAATTTGCTAAGACAGAATCACTTCGCTAATCGTTCCGATCGTCATGATTCCAGTCTTGTCTATAAGTTTACCGCCATTAAATGCCCATTGACCGATAACAATTTATTTAAACACTCAAGTAATCTCTCATAATGTTTCATCAAAATCAAGAAAGAAAATTATGTTCTTTTCAACACAAATGTACCGGCTTTATCTTATCATGCACGATAATTGGCGAGCAAAAAAATCTTCAACAGTGTACATACATAGTTCGGTTATAAGTAGCAGTAACAATTTTCCACGTTAACAAGTATTTTGACCAACCGCTGACTCGTATAATTGTCGAAGCAACATCGAGAGTAGGGAGTGTAATGATTAGTTGATTTATATATACGACTATACTTTTATATGCGACAGTTCTCTGCTCTGTGAGCATCCGTCAGAGTGCTAAGTAATACATTAGATAAGTAGATTCGACTTCACTGTGTCAGAGATGACGAGCCTATGGTGGATTTTGCTTCTTTTCGGATCGCAAATGAACCTGGCGTGGAGTCTGGAGGACGCGCCGAGAGTTAAAACACCTTTGGGTGGTATTAAAGGATACTATAAGCTCTCTGCTAATGGAAAAGAGTATGAAGCCTATGAAGGGATCCCTTACGCGTTGCCTCCAACTGGAAAGCTTCGATTCAAGGTAAAGAATGCGTTCTGTTTCACCTTAAGAACTATAAGTTCTACTGGTTACTCCAATTTATAAAAAAGAATAAGATTTTCTTTTCTTATAAAATACCCATTCTATCATACCCATAGTTCTGGAATACTTGTTTGTATGTCAACGTCTAGCCTCCTCATCGAATACTACCCTGGCTGGGCGAACTGTCTGCGACGAAGTTCGGCCCTCCTTGCTTACAATACACCCAACTAGACGAGACTCTATCGAATGAAAAAGTTATTGGCGCTGAGGATTGTCTCTACTTAAACGTTTACGCGCCAGTGCGAGAAGAAATATCCACCAAACCGATGCCAGTAATTATTTGGATTCACGGGGGTGGCTTCCAGTTTGGTAGCGGAATAGATACGGGTGGGAAATATCTTATGGACCATGATGTCATATTTGTTACAATCAATTATCGTCTGGGAATATTAGGTACTTAAAAGTATACCAATTATACTGTATTCATGAACATAATCAACGCTATTGAAACAAAAAATCAATCAATTCCTTTACAGGTTTCTTAAGTACAGAGAATGAAATAGTTCCTGGTAACATGGGACTGAAGGATCAAAGTATGGCCCTACGATGGGTGTCTGAGAATATCGAATGGTTCGGCGGTGATCCAAAAAGAGTCACTTTGGTCGGATTAAGTGCCGGTGGCGCGAGTGTCCATTATCACTACTTATCGCCCATGAGCGCTGGACTTTTCCAAGGTACTGGTCGCGTGTCGGTTAAATGACTATTTATACTATAATGTCGAATATTCTTGTATGACATAGGTGGTATCTCGATCAGTGGAACAGCTTTTGATTGTTGGACGCAGACTGAAAATATGCTGGAGAAGTCCAAACATGTAGCAACACTTATGGGATGCCCTACAGGTAACTTGAAAGAAATGGTACGTTGTCTGAGATATCGTCCACCGCGGGCTATGGTTCAATCTGCTCATGAATTTTTGGTAAGTATTCTCTGATTAAAAGAGTCGTGAAGCATTATTCATTCTGAAACGAATAATTTAATTTTAGCAATTCTATTATAATCCATTCACACCATTTGGACCAATTCCTGAGAAATTTGGGGACGAACCATTCATTGATAGGCTACCTGTTGAAATCGTGAGTAGCGGCGATGTTCATGATATTCCTTGGATAACTGGTGTGACTAGCGAAGAAGGACTGTACCCAGTTGCAGGTAAGAAATGTACAATAATGAGAAATTTCTAGAATTATGATCTTTAAAGCTTTCATCTAATAATATATTTTATAGAATTTATTGCTATACCAGAAGCTTTGAAAACATTGGAAGATAATTGGGATCTTCTTGCACCTCATTTTCTTGATTATAATTACACTTTACCTAAAGAGGAACATGTTGAAATTGCCAGACTTATAAAAAATCATTACTTCGGATCAAAGAAGATTGATGAAACAACAACAAAATCTTTGATACAAATGGCTAGCGATCGATTTTTTGTTGTTGATAGTGTAAAGGCTGCCAGAATGCAAGCTAGTGTTAATAAGCAACCTGTCTGGTATTATTATTATACCTACAGAGGTGCACAGAGTTTGAGTGATGTCTTGAGTAAAACTACTAATGATTATGGTGTGTTATTAAGATGCAAATAATAATTTATTAGGTTGGAGGCACACGAGCGTCGAAGCGACGTGTGCCTCTTGTCTTGCAATTGAAAACAACGAAGACAGACAAGATCGGTGTTCCTATTGTAAGGAAAGCTAGCTAGTTGGGAATGTCGTGTTCGGCGAGAAGAAGAAAATTGCGTCTTTTCAATTGTAAGACAAGGAAGGGCATAAAAACGGACGTTGTTTCGACGCTCATGTGTCTCCGGCCTTAAGAAAGAATAGTTATATGACTAAATATTTTGTATAGGTGTGAGCCATGGAGACGATGCATTTGCTGTTATAGATACTCATTATGTGGATTTCACAACAACACTTGAAGATCGTAAAATGCAACAAGTTTTGATCGAATTATGGAGATCATTTGCAACTAATGGGTAATTAAAATGACTGACTGTGTACATTATAACCGTTCAAGAAAATCATTCTGTTAAATTCCTGTATAATTTTTCTTATTATTTAGAGTCCCAAATGTAAGTGGTGTTCAGTGGCCTAAATTAAATCCAAATGAAAAGGTACTTCATTACTTGAATATAGCAGGACCAGACAAAATTTATATGGACAGTAATGCAAACTTTGGTCAGAAAGATTTTTGGTCTTCTATCAATTTTAATGAAAACAAATTCAACAGTACATCTGCTGGACATATGATGAAAGAAGAATTATAAAAATATCTTTTATCGATTAGCATTATGTATGTTATACAATTATATAATTTTATATTGTCATAAAATCATACACATTAAGCCTTCATTACTTTAAAAGATTCCTCTTTATAAAATTTATAAGCATGCAGAATCAGTAAAAAATTATAAAATTATTATTATCCTTTTCCAATTATTTTATCATATTACAAATCTAACCTTATTAACTCTATGTTCATAACATAAGTGATACGAGTTTCTTTTTCATTTACATGACTGACGGAATTAATACTTTCCATACATTAATAAATTACCAATTTAATTGAAATACCTATACACCAGAATTATTAATTTATTGAAGAACAATAGAATTTAAGAATTTACCTGATCGTACAGAACAATATTGCAATCTGGATGTCTGCCAATTTTGGTAATTCCTTTTTTAATTGGATATGCATTGGAGCCGATATTCAGTACCGCAATCTAAAATTTTTGAAACACTTAGATTACAATTACATTTCGACAATTACTACTGAAATATTGTAATATTGAAAAAAGAACTTTATGAATACTAATACGGATTAATAACTACAAAAACAATTGCAGAAGAAAAAATATAATGATTTAATTTCTTTTTACTTGTATTGGTTCTTGTCCAGCTTCATATTGTGAGGAATGAGACAACTTCTGAGTTGGCATAAAATCATCATTTTCACAAACTTGCGTTGGCAAAATGTCCATTATGAAGGAAACTGATGTAAATGACGTAAATTGTACAACGATACTCGATTATTTGTTTTTTTCTTTTTTAAAATGTGAATCAATCATAACATAACCTAGTATTTGAAGAATTTAGAAGTACTCGTTGTATACAAATGCAGTTAAATATTTAAAAACCAAATGTATATATGCACTAACAGAATATAACGATTACACATTATTTATAGCAATGTTAAAAATAAATCATTAATAATAAATAAGACAAAACACCATAAAGACGACACATTAACACGCCGTTATTCCCGCCATATGCCTTCCAGTATCATCACTGTAGTATGAATAAAAGTTCTATAAATTTACATAACAAGTTTAACATTACTCAAGAAAAGATATTTTCTTATTTTTTGTTCTCTGTTTTCTCTCGTATAAAAATAATATACATTTACGAATTTTGTTGTAACATACTTATCATTTATACCAACATTTCTTTTTAAGAAATTTGTAACACAGACAAAGTATAGGACAATCTATGCATCTTATGGAAAAGTTTTTTGCGAAAATCTCGGAAACTATTAAATGTTTGGAGCTAAAATTTTATTCTAAGCTAATCGATGTTTCTTGCAGTTTTATTCTTTTCTAGATTGAAAACGTCGTACGTGAAATGGTACGCATGTAATTGATATTACATCTTTAAGAAATACTATCAAATGTATCGAAAGACGGATGCTTCGCATTATGACGTCACAAAAATATAAACGATAATAAATCATTAAATAATTAATTGTTTGTCTAAAATCTTTATGTATTTATCTTACAGCTGTATTTTCTATTTAAGGCATCCCTGATCACATGTAATAACAAAATTATTCGAAATATAAGGTTTAATTTTCCCACCGGAAATATGATACATCGAGAAACGAAATAATTGGCCATACTGACTTCCCGCTTCCCGCCGCCAGTAGTTCGCAACGGGTTCGTCATTCGCTTTGTGGCACTTCGAATAATTAGAGAATCGCGATTCTAAAGAATTCTGAGGGCTAAATCGAATATCTGGAGCGAAAGCTAGGTAGTATTTTCGTTCTTTTTGTCTTGTATCTACGGTTTCTATCTGAGACATCCTTAGTTCCGTGAATTAACGCAGTTTCAAAAACGAGGTTTAACCTTCCTTTTCGAAATGTATTTCGCGAGACACCGGACCTCACACATCTAATTCGCGAGTGTTACTGGTTACAGCAAGGGGTCGTCATTCCTGTTGTAAAAATTAGCCTAGCAAGACGTGTTTCGCGACCAACGAAGTACGTATTTTTAACCTGTAGATATTTTATCATTATTACTACTCGCGTTTACTTTCTATCGATGCTTTCGTCTAATATTAATACAAGTTTAATCATAAATTCAATCGACATCGTGACAAAAATTGAATCGGTTTCGTACTTTTTTTCTGACATTCGATCGGTGTTAATTATTAACATGTCTCTCTGAATTTAATTACGATCTCTTGCAATACAGTTTGGATTTAATCATTCCTCAATTATAATTACGTTCATGTACTTTAATGCATTTTTATTCAACGGATTTCTGTTCGAAATAGAAGCTATTCTGACAACGGAACTCCTCCCCAATTCGCGAGCGTTGGTGGGTACAGCGAGGGGGCGCTATTCCTGCTGTAAAAATTGGCGTGATAAGACGTGTCGAGACCTATCGAGACCTGTCGGTGTTTCGCTATTAACGAGGTACGTATTTCTAACCTATTGATACTTCTTCATTATTACTACACGCGTTTACTCTCTAACAGTGTTTTCGTGTAATATTAATACGTTTCTATTATACATTGAGCCGGAATTGTGGCAGAAATTGAATCGGGTTTCGCGCGATTTCTCCAACATTCGATCGATGTTAATTATTAACATATCTCTCTGAATTTAATTACGATCTCTTGTAATGCAGTTTGGATTTAATCATTCCTCAATTATAATTATCGATTATGTACTTTGCTGTCTCTTATTGAAATTCGAAATCATCGGATTTCTGTTCGAAATAGGAGCTATTCTGACAACGGAACTCCTCCCCAATTCGCGAGCGCTGGTGGGTACAGCGAGGGGGCGCTATTCCTGCTGTAAAAATTGGCGTGATAAGACGTGTCGAGACCTGTCGGTGTTTCTCTATTAAGGAGGTACGTATTTCTAACCTGTTGATACTTCATCATTATTACTACACGCGTTTACTCTCTGACGGTGCTTTCGTGTAATATTAATACGTTTCTATTATAAATTGAGTCGGAATTGTGGCAGAAATTGAATCGGGTTTCGCGCGATTTCTCTAGCATTCGATCGGTGTTAATTATTAACATATCTCTCTGAATTTAATTACGATTTCTTGCGATGCAGTTTAGATTTAATCATTCCTCAATTATAATTATCGATTATGAACTTTAATGCATTTTTATTTCGTTTCTGTTATAGTCTCTTATTGAAATTCGAAATCAACGGGTAGAAGCTATTCTGACAGCGAAACTCCTCCCCAATTCGCAAGCATTGGTGGGTACAGCGAGAGGGCGCCATTCCTCTTATATAAATTGGTTGAATGATTGGTAAAATTTAATATACATTTATACATTCTTTATATGTATATTTTTAACATTGTATCCAGTTATTTGTCGGAAGAATGATATATCAGTGTTCAAATTAAACAATTGAAATTAAACAATAAATCATTTTTTAATTTGCTCTATAATTTCGATTAAGTAGCAAATTAAATGGGAATTGATATTTATATATTTTTATCTATTTTTTACATTAACGTAAATTGGAATAGTTTATATTTAACTGTATGTATTCTGACCGCTAGTATTATTTATTTAATTGATTGTGTACAATTCTGTCTTTATGAATTGTTGTTAATTGCAATTTGCATACATATTTCGATGCAAATTTTAAGAAAAGTAGAATCTACGTACTTGGAATATGCTATTCAAGCATAAATAATCTCCAAACTTTAATTTTTGCAAATTTTGGAATATATATAAAAATTACGAGGTATTTAAACATTCGATAAAATAAATATAATCATTCCGACAATTCTAACTGTAAAAGTTAGTGATATTAGATTTATAAATTGAATAATTACTTAAAGTAATTATTTTCTTGGATAATATTTTATATGTTGTCGCGACAAACTATACACAATTCTAAATAAAGCAGTATTTCTGTTGATGAACATCGAGTAAGGAAAAAGAAAAAAAAACCGATAGGAAAGGCACACGTGTGCTCGTTGTATTTCTTGTATACTCTTCCACCTTTCATTTCAGCATTGTTTTTGGCCGCGCGCAAGGCGGCCGGTAGACTCCTTGTTTACTGCGTAGCAACAGTTTGTTTTCCAGGGTAAAGTGACCCTGAGTAGGTTGTCGTACAACAGACGTTAGGCAAACGCGATAGTAGAAGCAGTGTTTCTTACGCAGTATTAAATTATTTCCAGAGCATCGTGGCTCTCCTTGTTTTATAACTCGCGTGAATAGAATCATTTGTTCGCCGATTTCAATATTCGGTCGCGGTAATCTAATTTAATAATTCCTAATGAAATTAATTACTTTTTCAATTTGAAATTTAAACTCCTCGTTATCGGTAGTAGAGTCAGTGCATCGCTGAAGAATACTATTGGGCGATGCTCTGCGAGCGAACAACGTAAGTATGAATTTATACTTGTAAAAATATTTATAAAAATCTCTATAATTTTAACAATAGATAATAATTGTTTTCTTGCAGTTTTTTTACAGTCTTTGAACCTGACCCCTACATCCTAGAAACCTGCAGGACCATGCTGACTGATGGGTGACTTCCTTGATGACTTCTACTGGGCAGCATCGTTATCATGAAATCATCATTGGTGAGTCGCATGTTGTTTGTGTTCCTCTGGTCCCCAATCATGTTGTAGAACGAAAGGTTCGAATCAACACGGGTGACCGGTTGTATACTTAGTATTTTTGACGAGTTAAGTGGTATTTTCAACTGTTTGTTCATTATTTAGTTCAGGCTAGGATTTTCTTGTACTTCAAGTTTTTTAATATGATAAAATATTTTTCATAAAAATATTTAGATTGAAAATATAACATAGAGAAATCAAATAAAAAATGTTTATAATGTAAATCGAATATAGCAATATTTTTACTTATAATTAAATTCATACAATTATAATACAATTATTATTGAGTATATAGTATTCAAGTTCAAATATAAATTCATGATTTTGTATGGAAGATATCAATCTTTCTTTATTTATTATAAAATATCACGTTTCATTTAATGTACAAGAAAATGTTTCGCGATCGGTAGATTCTCGAGTCAAAGCAACATCTATTGTTTACTGATTTCATGTTTTAAAAATTTGCTTTGACGACAGAGTCACCGTAGGGTTGAATAATTTAATTAGTCTACTTAAACAATTTGTTCAAAACTTTCAAAGTAAATTATTTTATTATAAAATCATTCTTAAAGTCCTTTTCCATAATTGAATTTTAATCAGAATAATTTTCACAAATAGCATTTTTTAATATCAATGCAAATTTAAAATTTTGAATCTTGATTTATTAGAAACAAAAAGTCGAATCATTATAACTGAAAAATGAAATAATAAATAATAATGAAATATTAGCCCGTTATATTGTTTATTAATTACTGTTTTTAGTTCAGGATTTTCAGGCTAATCCTTCCGTGTTCGTTGCCTAAGTTCATGCACATGCCCAGGTGCTATTTGCATGAGCGAAGGCAACGGGCACGATGACTTAGTTTATAACAATTTCTAATAATCTATTGGCGACTGACATTGGCTGGTGTATCGTGCACGGTGTACTTTCCACATGTGTGTGTGTGGTTAGGCTGTGGGAAGTGCGCCGTTTCAGAACTTTTAATAATTACAATTTACATATAGAATTTTGTAACATTAAATTTTTATTAGTTATTAAATTGTCATTTACTATTTATTTGATAATTGTTGATGTTGCACTCACGACAGAAATATTATAAAGTGCTCAATAAATTAGCTTTACAATTTTATATAATCATACGTGTATACAATATATTTTATTGAAAACTATATTACACAGATCGAGACGTCCTATATAAATGTTTAAGTATATAATAGAAATACGCAATGGTCACTAGTCTTTGTCAGTCGATTTCAGTAAATGGTACGTAACCTTAGAGAGTGATTGAAGTGTTGTGTCCGGGTGTCGGAGGAACCCCGGGGAGTCCTCTCTAGTTTAGGTCGCGCCCGGACATTGAGAATGAGAACCGTGGAGTGATTGT